GGGTATTTACCCCAAAGACTTGAAAACCCATATCCGAAAAGCTATTTCACACCGATGTTCATAGCAACATTATTCACAGTGGCCAGGACTTGGCAACCAAAGCAACCGAAGCAAACAAAGTGTCCTACAATAGATGATTGGCTAAAGAAGCTGTGGCAAGAAAATACGTATATAAACCTAAAAGCAACAAATGAAGAGACTCAGGGACATGGACAATGGACTAGTGATTACCGGAGGACTGGGAGTGGGGGAGGAGGGAAGAAGTAGATGGAGTAAAGGGAGTCAAATATAGAGAGGTAGGGGGAAGGTGAAGTGGGTAAAGGGGATCAAATATATGGTAGCTGAAGGAAACCGGACTTTGAGTAGTAATCACACAATATAATATATAGATGTCAAATTACAATGTACATCTGAAAATTATATAATTGTATTAACCAATGTTACCCCAATAAACTTAATTTAAAAAAATAAAAAATAAATGGGCAGAGGACCCGAATAGCCATTTCTCCAAAAAGGACACACAGATGGCCGACAGACATATGAAAAGATACTCAACATCACTAATCATCAGAAATGCAAATTTAAAAAAAGCACAATGAGATGCCACCTCACACCTATCAGAATGGCTATCACAGATAAGTCAACAAACAACAAATGTGGGCAAAGATGTGGAGAAGAGGGAACCCTTGAGCACTGCTGGTGGAATTACAAATTGGTACAGCCGTATGATGGAAACCAGTTAGGAGGTTCCTCAAAAAATTAAAACTAGAAATACTTTATGACCCAGCAATTCTACTTCTGGGTATTTATCCAATGAAACCCAAAGCACTAATTCAAGAAGATGAATGCACCCCTATGTTCACTGCAGCACTTTTTATAATAGCCAAGATGTGGAAGCAACCTCTGTGCCCATCAGTAGACGACTGCATAAAGAAAATGTACATATAGACAGTGGAATATTATTCAGCCATAAAAAAAGAATGAAATCTTACCACTGCAAGAACACAGATGGACCTAGGTGGTAGTAGGTATTATGCTAAGTGATGGTTGCCAGATTGGAAGAGGGTTAGAGAGCTGGTGAAAAGGTAATGGGATTAAGAGATACAAATTGCCAGTTATTAAAAATAGTCATGGGGATGTAAAGTACAGCATAAGGAATACAGTCAATAATATTGTAATAACTATATATGGTGTCAGATGGATACTAGACTTATCAGGGTGATCACTATGTTGTACACCTGAAACTAATAATATTTTAAGTCAATTGTACTTAAATCTTAATTTCAGCCACCAAAAGGACAGTTTTCTTGGACTGTTTGTTATTGATAAGACTTCAAAAAGCTTTTATTCACCTTTTAAGTAGTCTGCCTAGGAAACAAAGATTCTGTATTTTATTAAAACAATTTCCTGTGGTTCATGTTGTCTTTTCTTTTTTTTTTCCTTATCGCCTACAGCACCTGGTATTCCTAGGTGGTCTTCCATCTAAGTACTAACCAGGCCTGACCCTGCTTAGCTTCTGAGACCTGATGAAATCAGGCGTGTTCAGGGTGACATGGCTGTAGACTCATTTGTCTTTATCAGGTCTCCTGATTACTTAAACAAACTGAGTCTTCTCTTTTAGGAGAGATTTTTTTTTTAATATAACTTTGTTATTTTCTATATTTGCCTTTGAAGTCTTTTGTCACTTTGGTTAAACAGATAAAATAAGCATGATCTTATTTAATCAAGTATTTTAAAACCTTTTGATATTTTTGACAAATTTCCCAAAAATAAATTCTAAACGAAGCCTTGCTGACCTTTAACTTTGGGATTTTCCAAAGGGTCCCTAGAACATTTCTCAAAAGATGTGTTCTCTTTCAAAGGGAGATGTTAAACTAATTAGGCTATATGTTAAATTATACCAATGTATTGTCAAATAAGAAGTGGTTCTAAACTTTCTTTAGGGCATATTTGTATTAAATTCTTAAAAATCTGATATGTCCTGGTACAGTGTCATCAGTCATAATTTTAAAATGTGACAGAAATAACCAACTTCCTTATCAACTGCATTACATTGAATGCTCAAAGAGATCTAGTTTAACTATGACCATTCTTAAATATTTCATCATTTATAGTTATTGTTTTACTCTGAAGCTTTTTCAAGTGTTCCTGCAAAAGGGCTTCATCTCCAAGGAGATTCTTGAGAAAGACTGACAAGTATCGGTTTCTGGTAACTAAGATCAATTTGCCTTCATGTAGGAGGGACAATAATAGACCTTTCAAGTGCTTACCCAGCACTACCTGCCAGCCTCACAATATGTCATGGATGGTAGCCCAAGATCAGTCCCTGTTTTCCTTCCCCACATCAGTAAAATGGGCTCATTACACTGATGATATAATGTTAATATGTGAAGATTTGCCTCTGTTGCAGGACACTCTGCAGACTTTGCTGGAACATCTGTGAGGGAGAGGATGGGCAGTGAACCTGCAGAAAATTCAAGGTCCAGGCACTACCATAACGTTTTTGGTTGGTAAGATGTCCTAGAAGTTGTGATTGATGAAGTACAACCCTATTCAACCCCTAAGAACTATAAAGAGGCACATGCCTTTGTAGAGATTTGGGGGTTTTGAGGACTTTTATCGCCTATCTGGCACAGTACCCTCGTCCCTTATATAGCCTGGTGAAGAAAGAGCATAGGCGGGACTGGGGATGAGAGCAGCAAGCTGCCTCTGAGAAGGAAAAAATACTAGTGAAGCAGATTAAAGCTCTGGGCATCTCCTAAGCAGGGCTACCAATTAGTTAAATGTGTCTATGACTCCAGAAGGTATAGGTTGGGCACTGTGGCAGAGACAACAGAAGGAGACAGTACTCTACGATTTTGGTCCCAGCTCTGGAAGAGGGCAGAAACCCAATCTACAGCTAGCAGCTCTCCTCTGGGTAAGAGGTGGGTTTTGAGAATATGTTCTATTGACCCACCTCTGCTATGCTCAAACTCCCACTGTGAATAAGTAGCATACCTATTTGCAGAGGAGTACACTGTCTGCCAATCCATTGTCTCTAGAAATGTGAGTGCTACTAGGCCCACATTTGTAGAGCCTCCCAATGCCCCAACACCTATTCCTGTGGCAGCCTTTGTGGCCTGTAGAGAAAGATGAGGGAAATTATTCCTGAACAGACAGATGCCTAGGAACAGGAATAAACTGCAGCAGCCAGTGGGCTGAACTCAGATCGGTTTGGCTGGTGATCACTCATAAGTAACAGTATATGTGACTGAACCCAATTAAGCCCCCATATAAACTTTTAAGATTCTGGCAGGCGGGGCAAAGATCTACTCATTTTGTAGCTGCCTAGTAAGTTCCCTTGCTTATTAAACCTGCCACCGATCATCGGGTGGTCTACCTCTTTCTTCAGTTTTTCCTAACCCTCTCTGTAACAGGGTCCAATTTGTGAACCAAGACCATTCTTATCTTACATGTTTCTGTCTCCTACATTTCTTTCTATTTTGTAACAAGGTTCTATGTAATGTGACTCTCGTTTATCTTTTGTTGCTAAACCTCTTTTTCTCAGTAGCTTAAGTTCCCAATTCCCAGAACAAGCCAACCTCATTCACAACATGCAACTTACCTTTGATTACACTGTTCCTTCAGCCT